TCGATGCAAAGAACAGTTTTAACAAGATCTGAAGAGAAAACATATACTAATTTCCTTTCATGCAACACGATTTTCAACGTCTAGGTTGGCAAAGACATTTAATATAAATATACACGTATTTTAATTGTTAATCTAACCGAAAATGATTATACATAAATTTTCACAACGATATTCAGTGAAGTGTATTCACAAATTGTCAAACATATTTACCCTAAATAATTTGAATTAATAATGGAAACAATAATAATTTTAAGAAATATGACTATTGTATTAATCTTGTATTCTATATACTTTCTTTTCTATACCTCAATTATTGTTTAATTTACCGTATTTACTCTTATTAATGTTACAATAATTTTAATATGTATTTTGTGTTCATGGAACTTCATTTCCATTATTATCTTAAAACAACTTAATAATCTTCCGATTTCCATACCTATCTGTCGCGTCCGTCCGCGTGGATTTCTCTTTCGAATCCGCCTGGAGTTGTAAATTCCAGGCTCAGGTGTTCATGGAACTTCTTTTCCATTATTATCTTAAAACAACTTAATAATCTTCCGATTTCCATACCTATCATCACCTCAAGTAGTGTTGTTAAAATGAGCCTCGAGTCTTGAGCTTTAACAGCTCGAGTCGCGGTTCAAACCCTCAAGGTTCGAAGCTTGAGTCGTGAAAGCTCGAGTCTTTAACGCTCGAGCCTTTAAGCTTGAAGGCTCGAGTCGTATAAATTGTATGTAGTGAAGTAATGTACAGACCTTGAATTTTCGAAGCCTTAAAACTTAACCTAAAAATTTTCAGTTTTTAACTCTAATATTACACGAATCTCAAGCTTTTAAAGATTCAAGGGGGAATAATCCAAAAACGTCCAGAAAAGCGTGGTTTTTATAAATTAGTTCTGCAACACCCAAACCTCATTAAACTATTATTAATAGGGTGATCAAATATATATTTTGGACAATACGTTAAATTTTCTTTTATTACAAAATACCTATGTATACTTGAGCAAGATATACGAGTCATAGGATGTTACGCGTCGAACAAAATAATTTCTCAATTTGTTCACGGTTCATTGATCAAAGTTGGGACATTTTTTTCGTTATTCACGTGATATTCGACTTAATATTCTGGTAGAATATTTTCGAAAAATTATACTTTGAAAGTATATATATAAAAAACTTAATTTTTGCCAATCGTCACTGTGTTATTCCACATTAAGTCTGAAGCTTTAAGGTTCAACCCTCTAGAACCCTTAAGTGTTAAATAATGGAATTTACACTAAATCTATAATATTATACTTTATACAGTTTTTAAAAAATACAGCGATGACTGCAAACACATGAGAGATTGATACCAAGAAAGGGAAATGAAAAATGAAACAAAATAACCATTGAATAGTAGACGAAATGAAACATTGCTAAAAATTTGTCTGTAATGTTCAAAATATAGTATTATCTGAACGACTGGAAACATACTCTTACGCCGTGGGAGTCATAGATGACCGGCAGCAAGATTAATGTACTACGCATGATAAGTTTGCAGAATACATATAATCATATTGTGTAATATATTATTATATGATTCTAATGGGCAATCACTCTTTGGCGCTGAAGACAAAACCAGCAGAAACACGCTCAGCAGTGAACGTGTTAAACATAAAAGCCTCGAGGCTCGAGCCTCGACTACTCAAAGCCTTGAAACTCGAGCCTCGAGCCTCGACGACTCGAGCCTTGGAGCTCGAGCCTTGAGCCTCGAGCTTCATATGATTGTAGCCTTATAGACTCAGTCTTTAAGGCTAAGCTTTGTAGCTTCAAAGACTCGAGCTTTATACAACACTAACCTCAAGTGCGTTTGAAATTGTTATTAGCGGTAATCGTGAGGTCAGGGTTACGTTTAAGGATTAATTTAATTATCGGTTTAGCATTAGATCGCAGATTTAGCCGAGAATTCCGCTTTTGGTTTAAGTTTTGCCTTTCAAGTGGGTCTCAGAGCTCGATCCTTACTGTGAATTAAGTCACAGACTACCACGCGCACTGATTACTAAAGTAAATTTCATATTTGGAATTTCCTCTCCGTTCGCTATGTTACACACTAAACATACACACGTTTAATTCTCTACCGTGCGGATTAAAATCTTTTCTCAGCAATTTCAATTCTAATGCGGTTTTGTGTACGATTTAAATCGATACATAGATTCTGTTGAATAGCCGACTTTTGTCAGTCGAGGTCATTTACGTCCTCTAACGTAACACAAGTATGTTAACACCATTTTTATCCTTTTTAACCGTACATATGTCAACGGTGCACGTACACGTTCATAAGTCAAAGGATACTTATGCTATTAAATGTGGAATACGGAAGAATTAGAGTTAGAAACTTGCGGAAGTTATGAAATAAACGACTATTTCTTTATTTTTATACATATCAGAGACAATGTATGTTATATTCAACATTATGAACAATCTAAAATATCTATTTAATTAAGGGGTTACTTGTGGCTAGTAATTTAAAAAAATTCGATAGCAGCAAGTTGACTTTTTAGTTGCGACCAATTGTTATTTTCTTTTTGTATTCATTTTTGAAGGAAGTACATTTCTCAATTGTAAACGCGGAGATCTACTTCCCATCAGTGAAACTACGGATCTTTGCTGACAACAGTTATGTAGATATTAACCGGTGACAGAATTTGACGCACTCCTAAAATAAGTGTTGCACCGGTGCACAGTGGTCTGAAAAAGCGTTTTTAGTGGCCAAAAGTCAATTTTTGAAGTTCAACATTTTGAAATTTTTTTTCGTTACACAGAACAATACTACAAACCTTCAAAATTTAAAATATTACTCATTTTAGATAATTGTGCAATCGAGGGTAGCGTTCTGAAGGCAAAATGTTCAAATTCAAAGTGAAACCAATTATTCTATGTAGCTACTACACTGGGCGTCAAAATTAAGGGACCACTAAAATTTGCCGAAAATATGGGTCATTTTCAAATGACTATATCTCCGCGAAAATTAGTTAAAAAAAATATTGTATATGACTATTTTGTAGCCTGAAGTTTCTAGTTTTTGAATCGGGAATTCAAAAATTATTTTCATGTAGTTCGTTCCTTTTTTTTTAAAGATGAAGTGCAGCAAGCGAATGTTAAGAAATATTGGTCAACTTTGAGAAGATGCGTGGGCCAAATAAAATTTTTTCTGGCAATATCAATGGAATACTTTTAGAGAGCAAACTTTTCTCTTTAATTTCGTTTGTTTAATTTTGTTGTACAATTTTTATTGGCTGAGTTATTTGTCATCATATGAGAAAAGGAACTTTCCACTTTGAGCGCCTGTAACTTGCGAACGCACGATCGTATAGAAAATTCCAAAAGAATTTTGGAAAGCTGAGAGATTTCTCTTTAAAAACCTTCAGTTGTCAATTTGTTGAAATTTTTCTTCGTCGTATACAGTCCATTTCAAAATAACGTAAAATATTGCATAATTACCATTTTTCACAAAACACGATGCCATTTCAACAAAAATCGTGGAATCTTCCTTGTGTCCACGTTTTTTTCAAGTTAAAAGTACACGTAACCCCTGTGACATAGGCCGAACTGATCAGATTTTGTTTATCTTATGCCCTCGATAGTGAAACTTGCGAAATGGTCTGAAAAATTGGTGAATGACTCTTTTACGGTACGTTTCCTCTTTAAAACTACTTTGCAGCGTTTGAACTGTTATGATCTGTTTTTTTTAGTTTCACTTTATTTTAGAAGAAAGAAGAGATTTCAGAAATTTAGCAAACACATTTCTAGCCAATCTCTTCGCAATGACAAAAAGTGCACAATGCGAAGTGATGAGAGAGTGCAGATGCTGTGTACATCCTACCCTTAGTTATTGTGATAGATGCACTCTTTTTTTTACTGAACTGAATTTGCTTTTTTTTTACCGAACTTCTTCCTTTCCATTGCATCTCCTCGCCGTGTAATGAGATGAGTACCCTGGCATCTGCCAGCGAGGCGTAGGCTTGTAACGTTAGTACTGCGCACCGTTTCGCTGGCAGATGCCAGGGTACTCATGTCATTACACGACGAGGAGATGCAATGGAAAGGAAGAAATTCGGTAAAAAAAAGGCAAATTAAGTTCAGTAAAAAAAAGAGTGCATATGGTCCAAATTATATCATGTTTGGTATTATTTTGATCACAAAAATCTCACGAATACGTTCGTAAAAATTTCGCTAACAACGAACCAAAATCAAAAAGTTTCATCGTTCCATTTGTTCCCCTCGTTTAGCCGTCGGCTCGTGGAAGGGAAGACGCGGCGCGCCGGGCATAAAATTATACGCTTGACTGGTTCTGCGGTCCCCTTCCCTAGTGGTGGAGATGACGACTTCGCACTTATCGTGCGCAAGCCGACTCACACTTATCAGCACATTACTGCATTGTGTTATTATAAAGCTAGACTCACAATGTTGCCATGTTTAATCATTTCAGAATGTTATTATGTTTATTAACGTTTCTTAATATATTCCCGTGTAAAGCTGAAATATAAAAGTGTATCGATGATACTCAACATAAACTTGGTGGCTATGGATACATAACTAGAAGGGGTTAACATTCAAGATAATAAACAAAATAGGATTTTCACCTCTTATCCTAAAGCTTGTTTTCATTTTGTAAACGTCAGAGTTTAGGCAGTCATCAAAATTTTGATAATTTGTATAATAAAATAAATAATAATTTAATAATAAATAATAGTAATTTAATAATAGATGAATAATTTCGGTTTGTGTAGAATTGATCACCGTATCAAATTTGCTAAAATCCCAATGTATCAATTAAATTACGTTCCTACATAGTACATAAGTTGCAATACGAATTATGCATTCCTGTTACGTGAATTATGAGAAAATTGATCGCTGGTTGATCAATTCGTTTCGATGAGTCATTTTCTGGCTATTTCGTCTCCCCCGGACGAAGTGAGTGGCCGAAAAGAGGAAAATGCGGCTTATCGAATTCTTTCTTACCATCTTCATTGCTATCGTCTTGCAGTAGCCATATTTCTTCTTCGTCGAAATGAACGTCTCCGCCGCGATCTCTGCCGGGGAAAAAGGCGTGCGCCAGGATCTGGCCCCTGCCATCGAAAGGATATCCATCACCGTGATACCCGCTGTAACAGAGGAGAACAGAAACAAGAGATCCAATTATAAGTTTCACTTACAGCGTATTTTAGGAGTTTAGAAATGTAATATCGCGATAGATAGCTTAAACTGTTCATGGTCGTTCCTTGTTTGTGAACCATCTGTTTTCTCTTTTTTTGATTTACAGATTAGTAACGTCTAAAACTTACTTTTCAGATTAGTAACGTCTAAAATGTCAGATAGCGGGTATTTATGCAAATATCTATTTTCATAAACAATTTTAGAAAATTTGAAAAATCATTTACTGATCATTATCGAAATAATTTATTATAATCCAATTTCAGCAATGAATGAATTGTTCGTAGAAAAATGCATCGAAAATTTGGTTAGGGTGTTAAATATTTATTTCATTGCATTTTACACGCTAGTTTATTATAAGTGCATAAACCCTCAATTTAATTATTATAGGCCTTTCTAATGAAATATATTTAGATTCCATGTAACAGATATTGAAAATGCCATTACATAGTCAAAACTATGTATTCCTATTAATACCAACTTGCTTCAAGAGTTCTGACTATAATTTTATTAAATACAGCGACCTGCATTACACTAAATTTAACAACTATGGTGTGTTTATCGAAAGAAGAACCCTCGGGGGTCGCCTTGCCTCGGCGCGTGGCCTGATGGGGATCCAACGCGAGCTGCGTCTTTCGTGCGACGTTGTCACGGTGTCAATGTCACTGTGTGTCTCTTTCCATCCTCCGGCACTTCGGCATGAGAGCCTCTCACTCAGACGCTCGGTAAACCAACTTCCTTCTTTACCCTGCGATTTCCACGTGTAGCGTTAAATAACCTACGTATTAATTTAATCCCCTTTTAATATGTTGCTCAATATGTGGGTACAATAAATCTTTCAAAGAAATAAACTTTTTTCTTATTCATGTATTTTAACTCTTGACGTGTGAAAACGTTCAGCGTTTCGTCAACATTCTCTGACATTTCCAGACAATGAAATAACCTTCTGACAGAACGCAGTCCCCACTCCTTGAGATTGTAGGTAGGTCCTTCTCGAGAGGTTTGTAATTAGTGTTGTGTAAAGCTTGAGTCTTTGAAGCTACAAAGCTTAGCCTTAAAGACTGAGTCTATAAGGCTACAATCATATGAAGCTCGAGGCTCAAGGCTCGAGCTCCAAGGCTCGAGTCGTCGAGGCTCGAGGCTCGAGTTTCAAGGCTTTGAG